GGCTGGAAACCAGCCTGGAAATGGCCAAAACCCCTCTAAAACCAGCCTGGTCGACCAGCTAAAACCAGCCAACCAGCCTAGGCTGGTTTAAGCTGGATTTTTCAGCAGGGTTGATCAGCAGTGCTCTAGTTCAGTCCCGGAGGGCCGGTGTCCTGCAGAGTTCAGTTCTAACTTACCCCAACACACCTGCCTGGAAGATTCTAGTGTACCTAGTAAGAGCTTGATTGGCTGTTTTAGGTGTGTATAATTAGGCTTGGAACTAAACTATGAAGGACACCGGCCCTCCAGGTCCAAGTTCAGGCACTTCAGTTATAGATGATATGTTAATGAGGTATATGTGGAAGGACTTTTCAGTTACAAAATCGGCGAATTTAAGGTTAGCTTTCTTTAAGAATCAGTGATCTTCACTGCCTGATTCGTATACGATATAGAGTGGGTCTCAGATTGTACAAGAAGCGCTGCATCACATTACATTTAATTCCGCATCGTGTCTTTAAATTATGAACATTTATTTTACCCCAGAATTTTCAGTGTAAATGGCTTTTCGTCTCGTTTTAGCTTGAGCAACTAAATGAACTCTGAAGTCTGTTTAACTGATTGTATTTTAGTTACATTACAGCATCAATGCTGTAAAAGGAACCTTATAAAATGGAAGAAAAGTAATATTAACCATTCACGTGATGTTTAACAGAATGGAAAGAAACACTAGCTCTGCATATACCCTATTAAAGTCCACTCTAATTTGCATAGACATAGAAAACAAGCTAGAATGACATGTTTGCAAAGTACACTGTAAATTGAATATACAGAGATTAGATGTGATAATGTGTTCAGCATCAGGTTAAATAATTTTAAAACACATTGCTATAAAACATAATAGTTTTAATTTCTAATAACTGATTTTGTCTTTGTCATGATGACAGTACATAATAGTTTACTAGTTTTAATATTTTACTATTTTTTAAGATACTAGTAACACCTTAAAGTGCAATTTAAAGGCTTACCTAGGTTAATTATGCTAATTAGGCAATTCAAGGGCAAGTCATTGTGTAACAGTGGTTTGTTCTGTTGACAATCAAAAATATATTGCTTAATAGGCTAATATTAATACTAATAATTTAAACCTTAACAAGACTTGATCCATAAAGAATATGCCACAGGATATATATATATATATATATATATATATATATATATATATATATATATATATATATATATATATATATATATATATATATATATGTAACAGCAAGGAACATACTCTGAAGAAGCAATTCTTCTCATAGTCTGCATTTTACACTTATTTGACTGTGGCAATAACCGTAGATTATCTTATTATAACTGAATGTATACAAATGAAATATTTTGAAACAAATAGAACGCCCTTTTATTTGTCACGTTTAAGTACAATATAGTTGGCTAACATTTCCTAGCAATTTAAGCAAAAAGCATGCAAAGTAGACCTGAGCAGAAACGTAAGCGAGTGGGACTTTTATTTTGTTCCTGCACAGTGACGTCATCAGGCGGCGGCGCGCTCCTGCGTCTGTTGTGGTTCGGCTGAAGGAAGGTTTGTGTGTTTACACATATCAAGTGTTTAAATCAGCCTCTTAATGCAGACTTCAATGGTTTTACACGCGATGCAGAATGCTGTTATTAATGAAGTTAATAACCGGGAGGTCAGTTGAAAACGGTACGAATTTGTTTTTACTTTCACATTTAATAATCCAGGGTTTAATCCTCTTCGCTGAAATGATAAACTTGAAATAAAATGTGACGGAAAGGTGATGTTTTACCAAAAAACTGCAGCAAATATCAGATTGGTTGGTGGATCACTCATTAGGCTGGATGTGATGACCGACACGACCCAGGATTGTTTGGTTCTTGTTGTCATAGCAACGGCTCGGTGGCTCTGGAGGTCAGGCTCATGTCATATAAACAACATTAGATTAAGTCGGTTCATATTCATATTTTCTGGCAAGAATACTGCTGTAAATACGGGTATAACAATGACATATCTTTATAAAAAAAAAAAAACATTACATCAAATTTTTAATTATTTAAAATGTCATGCGATAAAGATACCAGTATAAGGCGCATGAGAGTTCAAAGAGAACATTTTGTACTGTTTTGTGACTAAGGTTATCACGTTAGATACTAATATTAACTTTTAAGATAGCAATATTGACCTTTCAGATGCAAACGTGCACTTTTTACAGGTGGCTCTGCAGCTTTAGTGCAAGAGAGTGTGATAATATGGCCAATATTTCCTGAGAGAGAGTTTATTCATGAAGGAATAATGATGTAGTTATATAAGTCATGTACAAGTGTGTCCGTGAGGTCTTAAAATGTATTAAAAGTTGATAAATCAGAAATTTAAGGCCCTTAATAAGTATTAAAATGTCTTAAATGCTATTTTGCAAGGTACAAAATTTCCTATCATTTTTTAACTTTAATTCAAGTTTGTCGGAATATTCACCTTATTCTCCGCAGACGAGCGGGCGCTGCCATTTGAATCTTTTTGGCTTGAGACTCCCGGTCTCATTCACTTCCATTCACCTTTAGACATTAAAAACGGCTTGTTTTGCTGTTTGATGTTGCAAACTAATATTTTCTAATTATATTATTCTACTTGGTCTGTATAGTCATGCAAACATTTGTTTGTAGAGCAAGTAGTTTGACCGTTTTTGCCGTTTATTATTCCTTGTCATTTCTCCCATAGGCGACAGATACGGAAGTTCTAAGACAATCGCGAAAACAGGCGCACTTCCGCATTTTAGAATAAGGTCAATACCCCAAATCTACCCCAAATGACAGCACCAAGACTTCAAGGCATGGAATGAACAAGTTGGGTTTTATATGTGTTTAACATATAATACTCCAACAATGTCCGTCATCAGCACCCCATTTTGAAAGTCATGTTCATTTAATTGAACATGTCAGTATTAGTATTTCTGCAGCTCTATAGGTGCCAGCCTGCTGAATTCGCTAGATTTATTAGATTTGTATTCAGTATATTGATAATTTTGGATTAGTTTCTTACATTAATATTCAGTAAATACACTGTATATCAAAATCTTGCCAGTGCTTCAGAAACCTAAAGTGGTTTAAGGTCTTAAAATGTATGGAAAGAGTCTAAAAAGGCCTTAAATGTATTTAATTTCACTTCCTGGTTCCTGTATATACTCTGTGTACACACAACATCGAGAGCTACTGTTTATTTGATGCAGCAGAGACAGTTTTCAAATATAAAAACTTCAACATGTTGGAGCTAGATTAATTTAAATAGCCAGCTATCACAAAGTTCATCACAAAGAAAACCCTGTCTAAAGGTAAGACTAAATAAATTGCTTAATACTAGTCTTGACGCATGGACTTAATGTGGATTTGCTTACATGGATGATCATTGAATGCTAATCAGATGTTGATGTTATGTTCGAGGATGCATAGATCTGTCCTTCACAGCAATCCTGAGCACTCACGGCGATCTCACACCAGTCTATCCTGATCATTGAACTTTGATCTCACTCATGAATTTGTTTGAAGAGCCAGAATACTCAGAGATCAGTTATCAAGATTAAACATCCAGGATCTGCCAGATTGTTTATGCGAGATATGAAGAACTGAGCCCTGATCTGTACAAGAGGGATAGAAACTCTGGCCAGGATGCAGACTAGGACTTTACGTTTAGTTTAATAGTTATTCAATCAGCTTCAAGGGATATATTTACCCAAAAATGATAATTCTGTCATTATATTCTCGCTGTTTACTTGTTTCAAACACTTTCTTTTTTCACACAAATGAGGATATCTCCACAGTATTTGACTGAAACTCAGATCTATGTGTAGTCTTGATTTCTTCTTCTTTGTGTTGATTCTTCTCCTCTTAAACTCACAGATAAACTCCTGCTGAAGCGACTGTAAAGATGGCGTTTATTAAACAGGAGAGCGAAGACATCAGGATTGCAGATGTGTTCACCCTGAAACAGGAAGATCCTGAGAGGACTGAAGAAACATTCAGAGTCAAACATGAAGATCCTGAGCAGCTAACAGGTTGGCTTTCATTCTCACAGCTCAAACTCAGATCATTCAGATCTGCAGATCCACTCTAATGAAGCGTGTTGTTGGAGATTGTCATACGAGCGCCTCATTACAGTGATTTTACTGCGCATGGAGACTCAAGTGGAATAAACATTTATGAGAAACTCATAGCTCCATGTGTTGTGCATGATTTTTGCATTGTTCAGCTTATATGTGTTTCAGGTATGATAGTTTCCCCTTTATGTGTGTGTTTTTTTCCGTCTTGTACATCTTTACCTTGTCATCCCAGATGTCTTCGTTTACCCTGTTCAAGTTCATTCTCGTCTCCTTTGCCTCCTGCGATCCTTGTCCTCCAAATTATCCACCATCAGATGCAGTTAAATAAACTATATTGGGTTGCACAACTTCTCGCCTATATATGCCAGACCCTATACCAGGGGTCACCAATCCTGGTCCTGGAGGGCCGGTGTCCCTGCAGGGTTTAGCTCCAACTTGCCTCAACACACCTGCCTGGATGTTTCAAGTACACCTAGTAAGAGCTTGATTAGCTTGTTCAGGTGGGTTTGAGTAGGGTTGGAGCTAAAATCTGCAGGACACCGGCCCTCCAGGAACAAGTTTGGTGACCCCTGCCCTATATCAAGCATCATCAATTCTCCTCCACTGTCACCACTGGATCCCTTCACCAAACCAGTCGTCTTTGTTCTGGTGACAAACACCTCCACATCCGCCCTTACAAGTTCCATGGTACCTCCTACATCCTTTCGCGTATTTAGTACAGGCTCTGATTCAAGCTCTCAGATCCTGCTGCTACATTCTGGAGGGGCATTATTGTGTTTGGCCCAGATCCGATTCCTGCAGACCCAGAGGGCTTTGTTGACGATGGGTCCGATCTGTTTTCCACAGCCTTGGTTAACCCAAGTCCCAATTTCGTTTCGTATCTATAGCCCCAGAGGGCTCTGTTAGGTCAAATTCTGATTCTGGTCCTCAGAGAGCATCTTACATCCACTTCTTGTAGCCCCAGAGAGTTTTGTTGACACCGAGGAGGGCCCTCAGTGTCGGCTCCGCCATTGTAGACTTTAGCCCCAGAGCGCCCACCAGTGTCCGCTCCAGCCCCAGAGTGCCCGCCAGTGTAAGCTCCAGCCCCAGAGCACCCGTCAGTATGAGCTCCAGCCCCAGAGCACCCGCCAGTGTCGGCTTTAACCCCAGAGTGCCCGCCAGTGTCAGCTCCAGCCCCAGAGCGCCCGTCAATGTAAGCTCCAGCCCCAGAGCGCCTGTCAGTGTAAGCTTCAGCCCCAGAGCGCCTCCTAGGGTTATCTCCAGCCACAGAATGCCCATCAGTATCAGCTCCAGCCCCAGAGCACGCACCAGTGTCGGCTCCGTCCCCAGAGCGCGCGCCAGTGTCGGCTCCGTACCCAGAGCACGTGGCAGTGTCGACTCCGTCCCCAGAGCACGCACCAGTGTCAGCTCCGGCCCCAGAGCATCTGCCAGTGTAGGCTCCAGCTCCAGAGGGCCTGCCATGGTAGACTCCAGCCCCAGAGCGGTTAGTGTAGGCTCTAGCCCCAGAGCGCCCCCCAGTGCAGGCTCCAGCGCGTGCCAGAGTCGGCTTTAACCCCAGAGTGCCTGCCAGTGTCTGCTCTAGCCCCAGAGTGCCCCTACAGGGAGTGCTACAGCTCCAGAGCGCTTCCAGTGTTGGTTTTGATCCCAGAGCGATTGCTAGTGTCAGCCCCAGAGCATCCGTCAGTGATGGCTCCAGCTTCAAAGCACCTACCTGTGTTGGTTTCATCCTCAGAGCACTTACCAATGTCGGTTTCAGCCCCAGACCCCCTCCAAGTGTCGGCTCCTGCTTCAAAGCACCCGTCAGTGATAGCTCTAGCCCCAGAACGCCCGACAGTGTTAGTCTCAGCCCCAGACCACCCACTTGTGATAGTTCCAGCTACTTTAATTGCTTACATTTTAATATTAGGAAGATTGAGTTGTACATCTGAGATTTCAGTTGCGGTAGTGAAGTCTAAATGTTTGCACGTTTGTCACATTGTTATTGAACTTGTTATGAAACTGAGGTTTACTTTTGTTCTTTTGTTCTTTTTTTCTTTAGAGCTGATTGAACCCAAACAGGAGACTGAAGTACCGAATAAATTAGAAGAGAATGACCAATATACGAGCCATCTTGATTTCAATACTGAAGAACAATCTTTAAGTAGCTCAGAAACTGAAAAGACTTCCTCACAGAAAAGAGCTCAGAAAAACAAAGGTGCGAATTCGTTTACCTGCCAAGAGTGCGGCAGGAGTTTCAGTCAATCTGGAACACTTAAAGTCCACATGAGGATTCACACCGGAGAGAAACCGTACTCCTGCCAGCAGTGTGGAAAGACTTTCAGACAATCGACAACACTAAATGTCCACATGAGGACTCACACCGGAGGGAAACCTTATTCCTGCCAGCAGTGTGGAAAGAGTTTCAGTCATAGATTAAGCTTTACGATGCACATGAGAGTCCACACGGGTGAGAAGCCTTACCCTTGCTCTCAGTGTGAAAAGAGTTTCAATAGGAATAGCGACCTTCAGCTCCACATGAGAGTTCACACTGGAGAAAAGCCCTTCACCTGCCAACAGTGTGGTAAGGGTTTCACCCGAAAAGGAACCCTTAAAGACCACATGACAACTCACACTCAAGAGAAGCTGTTCACCTGCAAGACATGTGGAATAACTTTCACCCAAAAAGAAATCTTCAAGATCCACATTGTAATTCACAACAGCGAGAAGCCGTTCACCTGTAACCAGTGTGGAAAGAGTTTTGATCAAGAAGAGAAGTTTAAACTTCACAAGAGGTTCCACTCTGCAGAGAAACATTTCCCGTGCTCTCACTGTGGGAAGACTTTCAGACAGAAGCAACACTTTGAAGACCACATGAGGACTCACACTGGAGAGGAGGTCTACGCCTGCCCTCACTGTGAGAGGAGTTTCAGTTTCAAATATCGCCTCGATGACCACATAAGAATTCACAACAGAGAGAAGCGGGAATTCCCCTGCGACCAATGTGGGAAGAGCTTCAGCCAGAAATCAGAACTTAACAGGCACATGAGGGTTCACACCGGAGAGAAGCCCTTTTCATGTGGTCATTGTGGAAAGAGCTTCAAACATAACTCGGGGCTTAAATACCACATGAATTCCCACAAATGCACGCATTAGATCGTAATGAAAATAGTGGTATTTCGTGGCTGTTTAAATGCATGTGTTTTTGACTACCTCTGGAAGTGCTCAAATGTGGACAAGTTACACATTTTAGCCCTTTTTACACCTGTATTCAGAGTAGTCGACTTGCGTTCCTAATTATTGCCCCTTACTGTGGACATATTGTCGTCATTATTTCAAGTGGTGTATAGGTTAATATGTAAATATATGGTGCAGACTTTCCTTTCAAAAACAAAATAAATGCAGTATTCAGCATTCCGGAGAAGTGCTGTTTAATTGTGCCGGTTCCAGTTTCCATACCATGTATGTCAGTGGTGCTCAGCCCTGTTCCTTGAGATCTACCTTCCTGCAAAGTTCAGCTCCAACCCTGATCAAACCCACCTGAACCAATTACTTACGACCTGAACAGCACTTGATAATTACATGCAGGTGTATTTGATAGGGGTTGCAAGGATCTGATCCTGATCTCCAGGAACAGGGTTGGTCACCCCTGATGTATGGTAACGTCATTCATGTTCATAAAGTCATAAAGTTCAAAATCTTGTAATAGCTCCCAGTAACACACATGCTTATGATTGAACACGGCTGGTTTAGCATTAGCTAATCCACGATCCACCAATCAGTCAATTCCTAACCCACTACAAATAACCAGAGTTTCTTACCTCAGTAGATTCATTTTAAAGAGTCCCCCCTTCCACCCCTACTCCTCCTTCCTTTCGAGACAGGGTGGCACGGCTGCCCGGTGGTTAGGACTGTTGCCTTACAGCAAGAACGTCACTGGTTCAAATCCTTATCAGACCAGCTGACGTTTCTGTGCAGTGTTTACATGTTTTCCCTGTGCTCTCGTGAATTTTTCCCAGGTTCCACGGTTTTCTACCACTGTCCAAAGACATGCGACATAGGTGAATTAACCAAACCAAATTGGCACTATAGACGAACTCTAGCCAGCAATACTTCAACAGTATAGTTCTCGAGATCCACCTGAGCTCAGACTCCCCTCTCACCCTTCAAACAGGAGGTAGCCCCAGGCTCGAGGATCTTTTAATAATAAAAGAAGCTGTGCATCTGTGCTGGATGGCGCTGCTAAGGGATGTAAAAGACTCTCATACAATTCAAGTAATAGATTGGTAATCAGGTTTTTTTGATGATAAAGAGTTTGTTGATCTAGGTCAGGGGTGTCCAAACTCGGTCCTGGAGGGCTGGTGTCCTGCAGATTTTAGCTCCAACTTGCCTCAACACACCTGCAAGGATATTTCTAAAGCCTAGTAAGAGCTTGATTAGCTATAGCCCAGGTGTGGCTGATTGGGGTTGGAACTAAACGTTGCAGGACACCGGCCCTTAGGACTGAGTTTGGACATGCCTGATCTAGGTGGTCCTTGGTTGGAATTTGTATGGTCAAGAATGATTGAGGGAAAAATGCTTGTTTTTGACTTGACTCTTGATTCCCAAGGTATACACACTTACTGATGTTTCAGGTTGTGGTTGGTTGTTCATGCACAAGTTGAAAGGTTTGTTAGAGTTTTACAGTGGGAATGTCATACTAATTGTTTTAAAAATTTATTTCATTGAGGATTCAGTGTTCAAGATGTCCCTTGATGCCTTTGAAAAAAGGTGTCAATGTCCTTGAAAAAAAGTTACAGGCAATACATGATCCAATCTCAGAGGTATCCAGGTTGGACAACTTGATCAAGAGAGTTAACGTGGCTATAGCAGAGCAGAGAATATCCTATAAAAATCTAAATTATCATCCGAATATCTATTAAAACTAATATTTCACTCTCTCACTAGCCTTGGCTTAGTCCCTGATTTGACAGCAGACCTGGTGCTGTGCAATCTGAGCTGCATTCAATGCTTTTTAATGCGCTCACCTAATCCCACCCTGACGTCACTCACTCCATTGTGCATTGTGTCTGACATTCCATCGCTGAGTGATGCAATCTCAGCTTGCATCATAAGACGTACTACTAAATTTCCAGGCAAGCATGTTTTGGCAAGTTGGAGCTAAACTCTACAGGAGCTTGGCACACCTCTGTGGTTTAACCAGTTGAGCATTTAGTAAAACACTCTTTCATGATGATACAGGAAGAAATGTTACAGAGCTTTTGCTCAAGACACCAGTTAAGTAGAGGAGAGAGAAGCATCTACATTATTCCTGGTTGGTAAGTACCACTTAAAATAGCGACGATTTTCAGAACGTTGCTTTTTGAAATGTCAAGTGTCTACTCACAGGTTAGTTTCATTATTCAAATAGTAAATAAACGCTTAGGTCCATATGTTAATTGTGAAACTAATTCAGACGTCGTTGCTCTTGTCTTGTAGCTGTGAATGCGTGAAGCACAATGGCCAATGTTAAACAGCAGCTCAAGAACTCACTGGATGAACTGGTAGAAGCTGAACTAAAGGACTTTCAGTGGTGTTTAATGAATGACCATGGATGTGTTTCAAAAGCTGAAATGGAGAATGCAGACCGGTTGAAGACGGTGGATAAGATGGTGTCATGTTTTGGACCAAAAGGTGCTGTGAAGATCACAGTGGACACCCTGAGGAAAATAAAGCAGAATGACTTGGCTGAAGAGCTGGAGAATACACAGAAGCAAGGTATTGCTTAATTCCCTGTCAAACTTCATACACATGCGATCATTGACCTAACCCTTTATTTACAAGAATAGCAAATCAGGTAGGGGTCAACAATAGGAACAACCGGGTACATACAGATCATCCAGAAGGCACAGTCTGTAAACAGGCGAATGGTCAGTACCGGAGGCAGGCAAGATACACATAGAAGAAGGCTAGGAGCAGTTTACATGGCTTGGATCAGAAAGCACGGCTAGACATGGCAATGAAACACTTTGTAAAGTTACAGGTTTATTAACTAACAAACACATAAGACTCAGGTCAGTGTGTGTGTGTGTGTGTGTGTGTGTGTGTGTGTGTGTGAATAAGGTGTATAAAAAGTCCATGAAATCAGAAGTGATCATAGTGGTGACATTTATATTATTCATGAGGTTCCGATTTCTCCAGCATAGCTGGAGGTATTAAGCAGTTCAGTTAAACCGATGAGGGAGACTCAATTTACTGAAGCTCTCACTTGTTAATTTTGCTAGTTTCTATGGTCTTAGTCTACCACTGAGAATTTATTTGTTATATGTAATCTCAAGAAGTTTTTTATTTCTTAGGCTATCATTAACGTTTGCGTTGTTCGAGGCTAGTGTTGAGAATTTTAAAATAGCAATAAAAGAGAGAAATTTTATATTAAGATTTAGCATAGACCATGTTATGATTTTCACATAAGTTTAATCATGCTTTTCTAACCTGTTAGGTTTTGCTAACTCTTGATTTTTTTTTTCTCAAAGGCTCATCTTCAGATCAGTGTAAAACACCTGTTGATGATACGGACCTCAACCTCAGACTAAAAAAAAAGCTCATGCTGGACTACAAGAGGATATTAGTTAATAATTCACAGACAGGTCGGCGGAAATGCCTGAATGATATTTACACTGATTTATACATGGTGGAGAACGAGACTGGCGGAATATTGTGCGAGCATGAGGTGAGGCAGATTGAATCAAGTTACAACCGACCGACTACCGAAGACACGCCAATCCAGTGCAAGGACATTTTCAAAATCCACCCTGATACGGGTCTACTAAACAGAAAAGTGCTGACTATGGGAATCGCAGGGGTGGGGAAGACCTTCTCTGTCAATAAATTCATCCTTGACTGGGCGGAGGGTGAAGACAATCAGGAAATAGTCTTCATATTTCCACTGCCGTTCCGCAGACTGAATCTGATTAAGGAAGAGTGCAGTCTCATGGAACTGCTGAACAAATACTTCTTCATTAGATCTGAAGAATTGCTCTCTCTTCCAGAGGAAGATGGTAAGGTCTTGTTTATCTTTGATGGACTGGATGAATGTCGCTTCCCCCTGAGATTTGAAGACTGTGAAGAATTTGAAGATGTTGGTCAAAAAACAACTGTGGATAAGATAGTTATCAATCTAATAAAGGGACATCTGATGTCTTCTTCCCTCATCTGGATCACATCCAGACCAGCAGCAGCCAGTGTGATACCCCGAGACTACATTGATCAGGTGACAGAGGTGCGAGGATTCAATGATGAACAGAAGGAGCAGTACTTCATCAAAAACAGCAGTGCTGAGGTTGCTGGAAACATCATCAGTCACATCAGGAAATCCAGGAGTCTGTATATCATGTGCTACATCCCTGTCTTCTGCTGGATCTCTCTCACTGTTCTTCAGCCTCTTCTGGCTCGAGAGTGCAGTGAAAAAACACCCACAACTCTCACAGGGATGTACATCAACTTCTTGCTTACTCAGCAACAGCTGATGGAAAAGAAATACAGCCATGATCGTGACTCTAAAGTCAATGCCAGGTGTTTTGATGACATTGTTCTGAAGCTTGGGAGACTGGCTTTCCAACAGCTGGAGAAAGGAAATCTGATTTTCTACAAAGAGGATCTTCAGGAGTGTGGGCTAGACGTCAGTGAGGGGACAGTGTTCTCTGGGTTATGTACTCTGATGTTCCAGGAAGAAAAGGTTTCAGCTAGAAAGGTTTACAGCTTCATACATCTCAGCGTTCAGGAGTTCCTCGCCGCTCTCTATGTGTTTTACATCACCAACAACAAGAAAAGAAACCCATTTCTTGATTCCTGGAAAAAGCTGACATGGAAACTGTCTGAAAAGCCCCTGTTTAGACTTCATAAAGCTGCAGTCAAGAAGACTTTACAAAGCAAGAATGGACACCTGGACCTTTTCCTCCGCTTCCTGCTGGGTCTCTCACTGGAGTCTAATCAGAGTGACCTGAAGGAGCTTCTGCCAGAACTGAAGCTCAAAACTGAGAACATCAAAGACACGACTGACTATATCAAAGAGAAAATAGAGGAGGAGAAATCAGCAGAGAGGACCATCAACCTCTTCCACTGTCTGAATGAACTGAAGGATGACTTTGTGGAGGACCTCCAGAAGAGTCTGAGCTCTGGAAATCTCACATCACAGGATCTGTCCTCTGCTCAGTGGTCGGGTCTGGTGTTTGTGCTCCTGATGTCAGAAGAGACTCAAGAGAAGTTTGAACTGCAGAAGTACAGAAGATCTGATGAAGCACTGATGAGACTGATGCCAGTGGTCAAGAACACCACAAGAGCACTGTAAGAGTTTTATGTATACACTCATGCCTATTTTACACATCTGCAGTCCATGTGCCATGTATTGCAGAAGCAGCACAGACTCATTGTGCTTTTTTTATAAAAAAGTTTCCTAAGTCTAACAAAATATTGTTTTCCTCACAGGCTACAGAGCTGTAATCTTTCTTCTCGGTCTTGTGATTTGTTGTATCCTATCTTAAAATCCTCAAACTGTGTGCTGAGAGAGCTGGACCTGAGTAACAATGACCTGCAGGATTCAGGAGTGAAGCTTCTCTCTGATGGACTGAAGAGTCAACACTGTAAACTGGAGACACTGAGGTAAAAGCTTTTCCATTAAATAATTAACACAAGGGAGATTTTTGCAGGTCTCGTAAGGCAAAACAAAGGCCCCAAATTAAAGTAAGCATGCAGAAATACTTTTGTTGACTGTGTGTGTGTTTGTAGATTGTCTGGCTGTATGGTGACAGAGGAAGGCTGTGGTTTTCTGTCTTCAGCTCTGACTTCAAACCCCTCACACCTGAGAGAGCTGGATCTGAGCTACAATCATCCAGGAGATTCAGGAGTCAAGCTGCTCTCTCAACAACTGGAGGATCCAAACTACACACTGGACACACTCAAGTATGTGGAACTGGAAGAGAGATTTAGGTTTATTATGTTACATCAACATCTCCGCTATAAAACTAGATAAATTACACCTGTATATGAATAAATTACTCCAAAGTAAATACAATTTGTGATATAGTGTGCAATATGCAACAATTAAATGAAATTGGACTAGAAAATGCATGAAGGAACCAGTTAACTGATGGAATTTCCAATGGTCCCACGTTTAAGTAACATTGACTGCTGACATAATTCTGTATGCTGTTGGCCCAGTCGTAGAACTAGCTCCAGGAGTTCTGATGGTCATGCCTGAAGGAGTTTCATTAAAGCTTTTCGTAGCATTGAAATCAACTGGGGGCCTCTGGCAAATAAATAGTCCTTAGGAATACTAAAATATCTGAACACGTTTTGAGTGTAATTCTGGTCATGTATACACCTCTCACCAGCTTTAGCAGTTGTTTGGTTGCATTTCATCTGTAAAATGAACACTGTGGGGCAGTATGATGGCACCAACGGCTTCTGTTCCTTTTTATGCTATTGCTGACCACTTACCTAGGCTATTCAGGCATTAACGACGGAGTTCGAGTCTGCTAAATAACGGTTCCTCAAACCAGGTAAAACATAAGAAAAATAAATAAATAAACAACAAGCTATAAACGTGGTGAAATCACCTAGCCGCCTGGCTTTTTCTAGATTGCTTTTGAAAACACTATCGGTTGGGTTTAGGGAAGGGGTGCGTGGGTCAGTCGACAGCAAGCTGGCTGAAGTGTAGATATATGGGAAGAGCATGCGCAAGTGTAACCGAGGTCAGCTAGTGAGTGCTGTGCAGGTAAACCTCACTCCTCTGACCTCTAAAGGTGCTCTAGCGACAGATGCTAGAGGCCATGGTCTTTAGCCTCCTTGGAAGAGCAACTGACTCCCATGTGGAAGGTCGTCGGTTCGATACCAGCTCGGAGCGGGTTGGGTTACATTGGTGCTGTGACCCGGATGGGAGTGAGGTTTAGGGGGGTGAGTGTAACGGAGGCCAGCTAGTAGGTGCTGTGCAGGTAAACCTCACTCCTCTGACCTCTGATGCTGCGTTCACACCAGATGCGGCACGCACGTCAAGCGCGAGTGAATTACATGTTAAGTCAATGCAAATGCACGAATAGACATCCTACGCGTGAATGGCGCGAGGTGAATTGAGCGTTCGAGCGTTTGACGCGCTTTACGAGGGTTTCACGCGAATCTCTCGAGTTCAAAAATCTGAACTTCAGCCGCGTTACCCAATCAGAAGCTTGCTCTTGTGGGGGTGTGATTGTGACGTAGAACCTGTTGATGGAGTCCCGGGGCAAATCCTCCAGGTGACACCGACAACAAGTCATCAAACTGGGCTTGGCTCAGTCAGAGGCACCGCTGAAAGTCTCCGTCATCCAGGTTCAGTTTCTGAAGGAGATGATGAGCTCACAGAGCTGGATGCACTTCTGAAAGGATGCAGTGGACTCATACAGGACCCTAAATGTATCGACACTGGTTTTCAGTCTTCATAAAGCACATAAACTTTGTTATTTTCTTCATAAAATCCATGTTAGCCATTTAGCCATGAAGCTAGAGTCACCAGGCAGACAGAAGCCCTGCCCATCATGCGAATCCGCGTCTGTTCTGTAGAAGTGAATTTGACTCGCGAATGAAGCGGATTTCACGCCCGAATGAAGCGGGGTTTGACGTGCGAATGAAGCGAGTAAACTCGGATGTTCATGCGGCAACTTATGTGCGAATAGCGCGATTTATCTGCGCGTTCCGCGCCTGGTGTGAACACAGCATCAAGGTGCTCTAGCAACAGACACTTCAGGACATGGTGTTTAGCCTCCTTGGTAGAGCAACCGACTTCCATGCGGAAGGTCGCCGGTTCGTTACCAGCTGGGAGCGGGTTGGGGGGTGTAGGACCGGCGGGGTTACACAAGAGACATTTGAGATCATCAGAAAGTGTAGACAGTGACCTCTGGTGGATTTGCAAAAACTGCGATCAGATGTACCTCCAGAAATGTAGACTGACTGTGAGCTGAAACAATAGGCTGAATAACATCAGGATTTAATGTTAAATAAACAGATTAAGAAAATGAAAGAACTAAGAACTGAAACCAGCTTTGTTTGCTTACGGATGAAATGTGGCTGTGTGTGTTTGACAGCATGGATCATGGCGGAGAGATCAGGATTAAAGCCGGACCACAAAAGTGTAAGTCCACACATATGTTGTGGTTTTAATGTTTTATGAGGACTTCCCTTTACAATATACGATACACAGCATAGACAAAACATACTTCTACAGTTAAAACTAACTCAAACTCTGTCTCTAAACAATCTTCACAGTAACAATTTATGAAAACCTTTTGTAATCTTCTTTATGATTTAAAAGCTGTCGTCCTCATGGGGGATACAGAGTTGCACAAAAACAATGAGTTTAATTAAACTTGTTGGGACGTTTGGTCTTTATAAATTAGGGGATATCAGAAACACACACAGCTGTGGTTATAAATGTGTGTGTTCTTGTGTTCAGGGGCCTGTTTCCTAACACTGGATCCAAACACAGCACACACTGAACTCATTCTGTCTGAGGAGAACAGAGAGGTGACCCATGTGAGAGAGAATCAGCCGTATCCTGATCATCCAGACAGATTTGATCATCCTCATCAGGTGTTGTGCAGAGAGAGTGTGTGTGGACGCTGCTACTGGGAGATTGACTGCAGTGGAGATTTTGTGGAAATAGCAGTGTCGTATAAGCGCATCAGGAGGAAGGGACGAGGTGCTGAGTGTGTGTTCGGATGCAATGACCATTCCTGGAGTTTGTTCTGCTCTCCCTCCAGTTTCTCGTTCTGCCACAATAACACACACACTGATCTCCCAGGAAAGCAGATCAGCAGGAGAATAGGAGTGTTTGTGGATCACAGTGCAGGAACTCTGATCTTCTACAACATCTATAGAGACACAATGAGCCTCATCCACTCAGTCCAGAACACATTCACTGAGCCGCTCTATCCTGGGTTTAGGGTTTATCGTGGATCATCAGTGAAACTGAGCTGAAGACTGAGGAGAGATTTACCCAGAATCCTCTGCAGGAGCAGTCAGCAGCAGCAAAGAGCTTAGAATGAGGTGAAACTTAATCGAACGTTCCATTTCAACAGAATCAGCCACGCACTCCGCCATTTTGGAGTGTAAGCAATCGGCCGTCTGGTGGATCTTACTGCTGTCACGATGGCAAGCAGCTGCTTTGTTTTTTATTTATTTATTTAAAAAGCGCATTAAAGCTGAGATACAACCTAAAAGACCACAATACAACACTTGCCATCAGCACTTTTAATAGTTTAGTTACAGACTTATAATATGCTGCTGTTCTATTGGAGTTTTCATTCCAAAATGGCCGCCACCGCAGCTGTTTCCCAAAGTGCACTAGAGTGTCGCCTCTTGGTGATTCTGTGCTCTTTGGTAGCCGTGAGATGTTCTGGAAAAATAAAATAATAACTTCAAAATTGATAATATAGTAAGAACACAATGTTTTTTTGTTTATTAAAGAAACTGTGTGTCAGAACAGCGTGAACAAACTGAATTTTAAAGCGAAATTTTGTGGATTCAGAGTCGGATTGTTACGTAGAAAACAAACTGTATGTGCGGTTATTTAGAGAGCAGAGCAGTGCCAAACAAGATTATCTCAGTTACAAAATGGTTTAAAACCTACTTTTCAGAGCTTTATGGACTTGGTAAAATCTCAAAATGAACTGTAAGGTAAAAGCCAAAAACACATGTTGTTAAATTAGCAAATGCTACCTTTGACATATTTGTAAAGCTTTCAAACTATGTAATCTAATACAAGTATAAACAGAGGTGGGTGTAACGCGTTACTGTCATCTAATTACATTTTTGAGGAACGCACTGATTACATTCTACATTTATGTAATCAGATTACAGTTACTACAGTCGGTGTAATGGCGTTACTTATGTTACAAATATAGTTTTTGAAGAAAAAATGTTTCTTTTTAATCATGTTTTCTGCTGCAACCTCCGCTAATAAGCACACACCTTTAAATACCCTGCTGAAAAATCCAGCTTAAACCAGCCTAGGCTAATTGGCTGGCTTTAGCTGGTCTCACAGGCTGGTTTTAGAGGGGTTTTGGCCACTTCCAGGCTGGTTTCCAGCCATTTTCAGCCTGGTCTTAGCTGGTTAGGCTGGAAAATGACCAGCTAAATCCAGCTAAAACCAGCTTGACCAGCCTGGTCAAGCTGGTTTTAGCTAGTCATCTCCCAGCCTGACCAACTAAGACCAGGCTGGTTTCAAATGGCCAAAACCCCTCTAAAACCAGCCTGGTC